CGCCTGCCAAGTAGGCACACTGCGTAAACAAACACCGGCCCGGAGCGGACGTCGCTCTCGGAGACCGTCAAACATTGGGCCACACCACCGTACGTTTTGGAGTCTCCCGCACCCTCACCGTTTTTCTTTCCGTGTTATTTATAGTTTATCTCACACATGTTCTTCTTTTTCGGGCGTTTTTCACCGATAAACCAGAGGGGATAGTCGCGGTCTTTAAAACTGCATTTATTGGGCATGCCTTCCCTCCCCCCCCTTTTTCGCTCCGGCCGCAGCGCCGCACGTCCTGGGCATGAGGCTCTACGCCGGTGGTGCGCTTTGGGCTCGTGCGGCCAGACCTCCCCCCTCCCCAATTCATTTGCTCTATTGACCGAATTGGGGACTGGATGAGGGACGGGCGGTGCCTTATTTAGTCGTTTATTTTTGTTTTGGCGGCGACAGCCGATGATGCAGGACTCGCGATGTGGAAAAGCGCGAGGTTGGTGGTCGCCGTCGAGCAAAAGAGCGATGAGGGAGGAAGGGTGCCTCCTCTGTCTCTACCGAGTGCCCCGTGACCCTAGTGACCCCGGCTCTCCCCCGGGGGGCTGTGGCCGCACCCGGGCGCGGGCTGTAGCCTGGGCCTTCGCTCGCCCGCCGCGGGGCGCCCCCCGGTTTCGCCGCGGTGGTGTAAGCGGAGCGTCCGGGAGCGTCAGCCGGGAAAGAAGGGAGACAGAAAGAGAAACGTCGAGAGAGGGGACCGGAGGGGACTATAGTTCTCGCTTTGTCTACGTCGTAATTCGAGTGAGATAAACAGCGGCGCGCGGTGGTGCGGCAGGGCGGGGCCGGCCCGTAAGCGCGCCGCACCCCGCCGCATGCCGTCGAAGAGTTAACTACTCGTACCTTTATGGACAAATTTTGACATTATTTTCAATGACAAAATAAATGAATGGATGTGAAATTTCGGTCTCTTGTACTGATAGAATGTCGCTTGTTGTCGTTCGTCCGTTTTATTAACATAAATTGGAAATGCGTTGCCGTTTGTCGCGAACCGCCTTTTCTTGTTGACGTGAGCAGTAGGCCTAGCAGGCCTAGCAGCGGCAGCACCATCATAGCGACAGCATCAGCAGCAGCTGCTGCTGCACCGGCATCAGCAGGCAGCAAAGCCATGCCAGCGGAATCGTCTGGTCAAAGTGCCATAGTCTACCTCCTCTCCTAGGTGCGGGTCCGTTCCACCACTCGCTTAATGCGCCATACGGGGCCAGGCACTTCACATGGATGGGCCCGATCACGGCCCCTGCCCATGCTGCACCCCTTCTCCCCACCCCACGTAGGACCCCAGGTGGCGCAAATGAGAGTGCGCCCGCAGTACACAGCCCTGTTGCCGTGCGGCGTTTTCTCAATGATTCGTCACAAGTCGAGCACTTCTTTCAAGAGAATCGCGACGCGCGGCTGCCCTTATCTTTTGATTATTTTTCGCGACGGGGCCGCGCAGGATTTGACTGGCGTGGCGGGGCAACCGCGGGGCGCGGGGCGGTGAGGAGTGGCGTGGCGGCGCAGCAGCGTGTGCACCCTCTAGGTAGGCGAGCTGTCCTCCTTCCCTTCCGGGTGAGCTGAGCTATGTCGGCTGTGGACTGTGGATGAGTGAGGCTGCGGCCGGCTGGCTATGACTAGTGCCGTGCGATGTGCGATATCATGCCGCGCCGCCGTGAGGCTAGTACCAAATACCAAACACTTGACGAGACGGCACAATATTGAATTATCCGAAATGGACTTTGTTTTCGACCAGTTTTGCCACAAAAATAGGCATTCAGTAGCACAAACACACAGGAATGGAGCTGGCTGCATCATCGCCTGCCTACTAGGCCACCCCTTCTCGCTCGTGTGGAAATGTTGCCTACCAGGCAGGAGTGGATGCAGCGAGCTCCATACCTGTGTGTTTGGGCTACTTGTTGCCTTTTTATTTATCTGGCAACATTGTTTTCGACAACCGTGTGTGACCACAGTGTGATCATTCCCTGGTGGTGTAAGACGCGGGGATTCAAACTCAGACAAGCTACTCGCTCCCCGCTGCTCTACTGTGCGGAGGGCAGATGGTGAACGTTGGCGTTGGTGGGCCCATACGTTTTCTTTTTACGAATCTGGTGGACAATGTGTTGGCGATTACTTGCTGACGCTGATAGCGGTGTAGCTGCTATCTTTAGATTAGCTTGTTGCATGGAGGCGACATTGCACGAGGGAATGTTCCATTCTTAGTCCTTGGCCGTCTCAAGACCCTCACACAATGGGCGCCAGGAAGTTTCCGTAAGGTTAATAACCATCCCCGGAGGAGGGCATATCTGAAAAGGCGACCTCCTTTTCCACGAGCACATCAAGGTGGCACAGTACAGTCGCTGTCGCCGTTCTCGTTTTGGTCCCGCCCGAGTGAGGAGGCTCGGCGGAGACCGGCACGTGTGTTGTAGAGAATCCTGGGCCAGCAGCAGCAGCAGTCGAAAGATCAGACGATCTAAACACACACACAAAACAGAACAAAAGAACATACTTCAGAAGGAAGATATGTGGTTGGGGACTTGCGACTTGGCGACTGAGCGATTTTGCCTGATTTTGCGATTGGCGATTTTGCGACTGGCCTGCCGAGAATCCCGCAAGCCGAGCTCGCGCGACAAAGTAGCGCTCTCAGCAGAAGACAAAGGCGAATGAAAAGGCGCGCCGCTTTAGTGCCCGACTATGTGGCGTTTTGCACTAAACACAAAATCCTTGATCCCGAAGTCCGAAGTCGTAAGTCGCCAATCAACCACTCGACTATCCTAGCTGGGCAGGATCGAATGGGTCCACTTACTCTCGGGTGGGCGGGTTGCCTACGCGGAGCCGTAAAGGGGCCATTATGGTGACCAAAGCCAAACAACCCGCACGCCCCACGCGAAGGTGCTAAGCGCCCACCCACCCCGTTTCCTCGGGGGCTTCGAGGGTTTTAAAGAGGTGGTAGCTGGTAATCTCTCGGATGATTCAATGTTTCACACGCGATTTATTTTTCGGTGGCTCAGGCTTATTTCTCCCCCTTCCACGACTTATCCACGGTCGTGGTTGCAGCATTATTTTTCTCCTCTGTCGAGTCAGAATAAAGATCCATTTATCGCCACAAGGCTCTTTTACCCTGTACCGCGGTTGGCTCAGCGCTGGCGCTCGCTGTCCTAAAGTGTGCAGTGTGGTCGTGTTCTGCGCTCAAAGACTAAATTTTGGCGATAAGCCCGTTGCGTTACCCGTTTGTGTGTCGAGTGCATGGAGGCAACCTTGACGAGCTCGAGCATAGCGGCGCATAGCGAGTGGATACCCCCACCCCCCGGCAGGCCAACGCGCCGAGTTGGTGTCCTGAGCCGAGAATCTTTCACCCTGCTCGCACCCATCCAGTGGGCTGCGGGTGCGAGGGAGACGGCAGGCGCCCGCCGCGAGCCTCTGGACGGGCCGGCCGGGGTCCGGGGTGTCCATGTCGCTCGTAACATAAACCGCTACTCGCTGCACCGGCCGCCCCGCCCCTCGTATGCGACCACACCTCGGAGAGAGGGAAAGAGAGAAAGAGAGGCAAGGTGACGAGCGCAGGGCACACCTTCTTCAACTTCAACTTCAAAAAGGGTTATCAACCGCCCCCAGCGAACGCCGAACGTATCGATATACCCCCTTCAAACAAAATCACGATACTTTTTGAACATCACGCCTCGGACTTCCCCGCCCGTTATCGGCGTAGTGCAAGGGGGAGGTTCCACGGATGACGCCCACCCTATACAGGACGTGTCCTTTCGTACAGCCCGGCGCACAGTCGTGAAGCAGCGCCCACGTCTGGTCCCCGGGACGGGACGGGGTCCACGTATGCCCGGGGAAAACAACAACAGCCGCAGCGCGAAGACGATGCGGAGAAAAGAGAGGCGACCTGCCAAAAGAGCCTGGCGAGGCAGCTTGGGAGAGACTGCCTACACTCTGGCACGTGTAGCCAGCACGAGACCAGAGGCCGCATGGACGGACGCCACCGGACGTCTGAGCTGGAGTGGACGAGATGTGGAGGGACTTCCCTCTGTTCGGGGGGCTCCTGCCGCCCTTGCACCCTCATCGCCCCCTCGCCCCCAACCACTGGCGGCGCAGGGTCGGTCCTACCGGTGCGGTGGGGATCTCTATCCAAACTTGAGGCTCATGGTCAGCTTCCAGTCACCCAGGAAATATTCGTTGTTTCGAATGGCGATATGACGGCAAAAGTCTTGTACGACCGACGTTAATCGTTGCCGCATCCAGCATTTCATTGATCTCCGAGGCGAGTTTTGGCGGCGCGGGCGGGGAGGGGCGCGGGACGGGACGCTTGTCGGCGAGAGCATGTTTGCCAGGGGCTGCGCCCGGGAGAGGACGGGACGCTTTCCCTCTCGGACTCAGCCGGATCAGCTGAGGGTGACAGAGACAGAGGACAAGGGTGTGCAGCGACTCTACTCCCACCCCCGTACCTGACGTCAGCGTGACGTATTGGGCAGATAAAAAAAGGCAGGAGTACCAACCTAGGGGCGTTCACTCGCGGGTGTCTTACCCGGAGAGTGTCATGCGCTAGAAATAACACCAAGAGACGCTTCAAATGGAGAAATCGTATGAAAGTTTGATAATCCCTTAAATTTGCACAAAAACTTGAAATATAAGTGAAATGGAGACGACACACGCGCAAGCTTTCGTGCGCAGTGCTTGGCAGCAGTGGCACCATCCATGTATATGTGATCAAACAAGTGAAGGAATAGGTCACTGATGGTTTGTTCCCGCAGCGAAAAGAGTTCAGTACCGTTTAATTTACCCGAGAATTATGAGTATTAGTGCCCTTTTGGCCTTAAGTAATTCCGAAAGCAGTAAGGAAGACTTTTTAGAAGCCATGCCCGCCTTAAGTTCAAGTTGGTAAGTATTATGAGCTAAATTAGTGGAGTGGTCTTCTCGAGCCTTTCTGGACGTCCGCCATGTTGTATTGCACATACCTCACGTTCGTCATGGACTTTTAAATTATCTCCATTCTTCAATACTCATCGCTAGATAATACTGCATTGACAATTAATATAGACGCATAGCAATGGTTCAAATCCTACCATGTCGTCCTCATTCGTACTTTTCTCTGAATTTCGTTCATCATACCCCCTGCCATTCTCAAGTATTCCGTGGCAGTCATTTTTCCCGTCGTCCTGACTTACGCAATAAACATGCATTACTTATGAATTTCTTTTCCATTATGTATCAGTTTAAAATTTTCCTGATATTTTTAAATTGTGATGTTACTGGAACGTGGGTTACGGAAGGAAGTTGATTTTTAAGGATATTTGAGAATGTCAGTCAATTTCTATTTGCTTTAGATTAGAAAATATCAGTACATTTCTTATGCTCCTGTTCAAATATCTCATCTATATTTTCTTTGTTTTGTTATCTTTATTTTCATAGAATATAGCATTTTAAAATTTGACTTGTTGTAATTCTATGGAAATAGATGAACATTGAACTTTTTTATTTAGTGTGAAGGCAAAGTGGGAAGGCAACCCACTTTAGCTTAACTTTGAGCGATACTGTTGGAAATATTCTGGAGTTCAACAGCATCGTGGCATGCCTCCTCATGATTATTTTTTTAATTTGTTTTTATTTTACCTAATTCTATGAATTTGGCTCAAATGAAATTCTTTCTCAATAGTCTGCTACGCACATGATGTGGCAACAGTGCTTGCCGGATTTCAAAGTTACGCATTACCAGCCAAATCCTTAAAGAATTTGGTGTGGACATGTGATTTTTCTTTTCTGAGAAGATGCACAAACGTGTTTTCAACCTTAATTAAACCAGAGATCTGTGCTGTTGCCAAGTTGTAGGCAAACAGGTCTTTTCTATGATCGGACCATTCTGTGATTTGACATTGCTTCAACATGTAATCCAATTTCTAAATTTTCATTCTTTGTTCTGTTTGTACTGTATTGTTCAGATTTGATTTGATTGGCCTTAATTTCTAACTCTGGTGTCTTTTATTTGTTCACAATTTCCTCATGCTGAGCTTATCTATTTTTAGACCCTACAAAGTCATGTTGATTCAGTTTAGAACCAGATGTTCTCTTGTTTAAGTTGTGGCTTTGTGCCAAGAATAAGTTGTTTTTTTAAATATTGAGTTCAATATACCCTTGGTGTTATCAAACTTCAAATCATTTTCCAATTTTTTCTTACATTTACCTCAAGTGTATTTGGTCAAGTTCTTCTCAGTATCTACTTTACTTATTTTCTGCATTAGGACATTCAGTATTTCACATGATTCTTAATAGGCTACAAAAGCTCTTGTATTATGGCTCCACTGCTTCTGCAAACTGTTTGGGCTGAGAGTAGCTTGGGTCCAGTCTATAAATAAACCAGTTGAACCACTGCCCACTGCGTAGCACGTTATGATATATGTGCCAGTGAAGGTGACAAAACCTTGCCAAAGCTTTAGTTTCCTTGATGCTGCTAAGGGATTTGTTTCTGATAAGTTGTTGTGAATAACTTTTGTTCTGTTTTCAGCTCTTCCGAGGTGGAGGCCGTGCCCCAGTACTGTATAACGTTGGGCGCAGGGCCTCAGTCTTGGTCCTGATGGCCCCCACACCGCCTTCACAATTGTGTCGCCGTCACTCAGCACAGAGGGCAGCGGCGTGGGGAAACCAAAGGAGCTCTCTGTGAGCGCACTGCGTAACTGCAATGTTGTGCAGGTAAAGATTATATTATTAATGCTGTTGTACGGGTTGGTCCCTGGTTGGCCTATGCCTACCAGAGTAGGGGGAAGAAGCTTACTGTCCATTAGACATTTGCCAACTTTTATTCTGGGTTGTGGGGAGGGGTGGGTTTGTGAGACTGTTGTTGGACCTCATCTGTTTAGTCTCCTGCTCTCTCTCCACATTGTCAGTTCATGGATCCTTTAGGGCTACCTTGTATTTATTCAAAGACATTGCCTCAGTCTAGCATATGTCTCTTAATATTTTGTGAATTTGGTTTCCATAATTTGAAATTAGTAAACTGTTATCCTGATGGAAAAGTATTGTTTGTTATAATCTACTGTACAATCACCCTGTCAATTCTTTTCTCACATACCTTAATTCTATGGTTGCAGGAGAATGAGTTATTAAAAGCAGCAAGGTCACTGGAGTCACTGCGTTTGACGTTTGTGCTCCAGTTGACTGAGAGTAGCCAGGTGCTATGGGAAACAGTGCTGTGGCAGGGACGGCTGTACATCCAGCTGCCGTCGTGCCTGCTGCCAGAAGGATCAAAGGAGGGCTTTGTCTCTTTGTTGGAGTATGCTGAAGAAGTACTGAAGTGCAGTCATGTCATCTTGTGCTTCAAGAAAGATCGATCCGACAGAGGTAAGTTTGAATTCCTTTTGTATCTACTGTGGGAGAATTTTGGTTTGGTTGTGATTAATCTTGAAATTTCTTTTCCAGCCCTTCTTGTGCGTACCTTCATGTTCCTGGGATTTGCTCCCCTAGCTCCTGGTAATACTCTTGTGCCGCGTAAAGCAGATCCAGGCAACCTCTACATGCTCTACACTATCGAGTAATTGTTCATAAATAGCCATGCCTTGCCACAGACAAATTTTGCACTTTTTCCCTTATCATTGCTACAAAACATGTTCTGAGTTTTGAATATTACTTTCTGATAGTTTACTCAAATTTAAAAGTGGTATGTGAAACTAAAAGAGTTAACTGTTCAATTCCATGCCATTTTAATTTATGACAAATTTGCTGTGATGGCGATGAAACAAACTAGCATCTCATTTTGCTTAGGTATATATCTGTATTGGCTTAAAATATTTATATGCTTTAGATATTTCATATAGATGTCGCACATATGTTTCTATGGTCTGTTGGCAAGCATGCATTTAGGGTGTTGTTTTGGTCTGTAGTTAACTTATACAGTGTCTTCTTTATACCACCGGTGAAATCTTTCAGGGCCGAACAGCTGTCAGGTCTATTGAAGGTTATAACTCTTCTGACTTTCTCTGATTTTTTTAGTCGCCATTAAGACATTCTGAAATTTAAGATCCAAGTTTTCATTCTCTAGCAGTAACATTTCTTGTTTCCCTACGTTGGTTTAGTGAGAGGGAACATATGATAAATTATCGGGTACTTTTTAATTAAGTGGCAGTTTGAGGCACTTTCATCTTCATCTTTTCATTTGCACCAAAATTATATCTGGTTGTATTTCACATCCCTAAAAATGTCACAGTAGTTCTTTCATACTAGTGCCTCAAACTAGTTAACAAGTTTCCGATCTTTGATTCATATCTGTCCCTTGTGTTGAGTGACAGTGACACCAAAATATGAAACACGCGTATAAATTTCACTTCATACGTAAGAAAAAAAATATAAAAAAATAAAGAAAATGTATAAAAAAATGTAGATTTTGTTTTTACACATGGTTATTTTTTTGTGGTTCACATTATACTTTCATGCATTATACCATTCCAACTGTTTACTTGGTTATCTGGCATTAGCTGGGCGGCCCGGCATCACCGGTTTTCGTTTTTATAATCATGTAGGTGAGGGAGTGGTTACATTACCTTTTTTTTTGTCGTAATGTATGTCATTAGATTAAGTTTTGTATCATTGGAAATATTTTATTTGTTTAGTACCCATTTTAAGCATTCAAGAATCAAATATATATCCTGTTCAATTATTATTCTTTGACTGATGGTTTGGAGTTCACTAATAAATCCAACATTACTCTACAACAATTGATAGTGAAAGTGATTTCTTACCCCTTTTTGAAACTCCATGTTGTAGAAATGCTTCCTTTTCATTATTTGCTTTGAAGACATACCTCATAGTGCAGGTAGAAAAAGAGCGAGGTAGTGGCATGAAATACAACTAAAACAAGATAAAATACTATTTTGGAGTACATATGCACATGGCGGGAACACAGTACCATGCCGGATTTGGGCCATTTAGTAATTTGGACCTCATTGAACTCTAGGGGTGGTTCAAAATGAAATACAGAGCACGGCTGGTGCATGGTTCCTGATATAAGATTTCGACTGAACGAGGCTTGTTTGAAAGGAAGCCAAATTATGTTTCAAACAAGCCACGTTACGTTAAAATTCGAGAATGGGAACCATGCTCAAGCCGAGCTTAAACATGCTCAAATTGTCAGTTTGGAACACCCTATTGAACACTTAAAACGGGGGACAGCGCTCAGAAGTATAAGGGTGAGGAGAGCGATGGGTTGCTTAGCCCTTACCCGCTTACCTCTACGGCGGACCGATTTGCTTGCATTTTACCGTATTTT